CCAGACCCGATCAGGGCCTCTCACCTTCAGCCCTCCTTCCTGCCACCACCGGGACCTCCTGCCTCCAGTCCCAAGACAGCTCCTTTCACACTCCCTCTCCCAAGGATTGTTAATGGTTCCGGGGATGCCCTGCCCCAGGACATTTGCATTTTAAAAGAGACCTGGGGGGGCTTCCCTGGTGGCGCGGTGGTTGGGAGTCCACCTGCCGATGCAGGGGACACGGGTTCGTGACCCGGTCCGGGAGGATCCCGCGTGCCGCGGAGCGGCTGGGCCCGTGGGCCGTGGCCGCTGAGCCTGCGCGTCCGGAGCCTGTGCTCCGCAACGGGAGAGGCCACAACGGTGAGAGGCCCGCGTACCACAAAAAAAAAAAAAAAAAAGAGACCTGGGGAGTTCCCTGGTGGCCTAGTGGTTAGGATTCTGGGCTTTGGGTCTTTCACTGCCGTGTGGCCGGGTTCAGTCCCTGGTCAGGGATCTGAGATCCTGCAAGCCACATGGCATGGCCAAAATAAATAAATTTAAAAATAAAATAAAAATGAAAATAAAATTTCCATAAAAATAAAAAATAAACAAATAAAAGAAGGCTGCTGGGAGAGGTTGGGTGGGTGGGGGGAGGGTGGGGTTGGACCAAAATGCTGAAGATGGGATTCCTGGAGCCGATGGGGGAAATGTTTCTGGATGTGGAATCCCCACAGGGCTCCACAAATCACCTGTGTCCACCCCACCACAAGTAAAGTGGACTTCATTTATTCTTTCCATCCTGAAATAGTTACCCGTGCCTACCTTGTGCCCGGCAGTGCGTTAAGCGCTAGGGGTACAAGGATGAATTAGGTTAAGAACAAATCCCACCCTTAGCACATTCGCAGTCTAGCGGAGAGACAGTAAACCTCCTTCCTGCCCAGCCTCCAGCTGCTGCTGCAGGGCAGCAGCCCCCGGGGGGTATGTGATCGCACCCGTTGGCAGGCCTTGACAACTGGACCCCCAGGTGCTCCTATCTGGCAGAAACCTGCCCCCACGCCCAGACGTGCCAGCTGCCAGACCATGAGGGGATGCAGCAGCTCAGATGAAAGGAGGCAATCTCCCCTGTGGCTTCTGCTCTCTGGCCTTTCCTCAGGCCAAAGGCCTTCTAGTCTAGGAAGCAGCTTCCCTCCCAAGCTCTCCCATTTCTGGGCTTGGGAAAGTGCAGGCAAGCCCCACTCTGCCTAGGTGTACAGAGTCTGCCGGCCAGGAGCCACCCAGTCGGGGGCTGAAAGGTCTTTGACGTTGCTCCCTTCCCCTCTCCTCAAATGGTCATCTGGTTTTCTTCCTTCTTATCAGAATCCCAACCAGGTCCTCCCACTTCCACAAAGCCTGAGTTCACCCCAAAGCGAAAGGACTCTGCTTCTCTGGGCCTCCATCCCCTGGCTTATGAGACAGACATCTCTGCCTGCCCACCTGGCGGAACCCCTGGGAGGTAAAGGGCAGTCGTGGGTAACACGGAGCTCTGTGGTCCAGGCACCGTTCTAGGAGCTATGCATTCATTCATTCGCTCAGTCTTCACAACAAGCCTCTGAGAAACATATTATCTCCATTTTACAGATGTGGAAACAGAGGCACAGAGCAGATACCCAAAGACACACAGCTAGCAAGGAGCAGAGCCAGAATTTGAATGTGTGTGTGCACCTAACCAACTCTACTCAGCTGCCCCCAGAGCGCTTTATAAGTAAGGGAAAGCTGTACAAATTCAAGAACATTATTATTACCCAAATGCTGTTGCCCCCTCAGGCACACCTCAGGCACCGCCTAGCCCTTTCTGATCAGACACCTGAAAGGACAAGCCTGAGCCGGTCCTGCGCTGCAAGTCCCAGAATTACCTAACCCAGCTCTGGGACTCCAGCTCCCCAACAAATCCCTCAGACCCTTGTGCCCCCTCCCTGAAACCACCAGCCACCTCTGGCCCAGGGATCCGGGAGCTGGTGTCAAGAAGAGGGCTCTGTCATAAAAAGAAACGAAATTGAGTTATTTGTAGTGAGGTGGATGGACCTAGAGTCTGTCATACAGAGTGAAGTAAGTCAGAAAGAGAAAAACAAATACCATATGCTAACACATATATATGGAATCTAAGAAAAAAAAAAAGGTCATGAAGAACCTAGGGGTAAGACGGGAATAAAGACACAGACCTACTAGAGCACGGACTTGAGGACATGGGGAGGGGGAAGGGTAATCTGTGACAAAGTGAGAGAGTGGCATGGACAGATATACACTACCAAACATAAAATAGATAGCTAGTGGGAAGCAGCCGCATGGCACAGGGAGATCAGCTCGGTGATTTGTGACCACCTAGAGGGGTGGGATAGGGAGGGTGGGAGGGAGGGAGACGCAAGAGGGAAGAGATATGGGAACATATGTATATGTATAACTGATTCACTTTGTTATAAAGCAGAAACTAACACACCATTGTAAACCAATTATACTCCAATAAAGATGTTAAAAAAATAATAATAAAAAAATAAATACTTGTGATGGAGGGGAAAAAAAAGAAGAGGGCTCTGGAGGTGGGAGGGAGCAAGGAGGAAAGAGGCAGGCCTGGCCAGAGCCTGGAGATAGATGGGCCCTGCTCCATGCTGGCCAGTGTCAGGTGGGCCTGGGAGCTAAGGAGCGAAGCAGGGCAGTGATGTACAGCCCCGCCCACCAGCGGGAAGCCAACCTGATGCCTGATCCGATCAGACGCCCCTTCCCAGACCCCCTCATTCCTCCCCCTCCCCCTCCCAGCTCACTGACCTCCCTGCTCGCTTCCCAGCCCCACCCTCCCTGAGATCTCCAGCTGCTCCTGCTGATTTTATAAAGGGCTCTGGCAGGAGGTGGGCACCTTGGCTAAATGAATCAGCGCCCACGAGGCAGGAGGCAGGAGGCTGGTTAGCATTATGGCCAAAAGGTGGTGGCAGCAACAGCTTATGCGCAGCCATCAGGGAGGAGTCTGAGTGAGCAGAGAGGCCCAGGCAACCTGGGTCTTGGTTTATTCTGAAGCTCCAAGGTGGGAACTCACCAGGGGGCCCTGGCCGCCCCCACCACAGCCTGGGAGCAAGCTTATGGGATGGACCAGGGGCCAAGATGCACACACATGAACACACACACACACACACACACACACCACTGCTATGCTCTGGAAGAAAGAAAATGTTATACAAGGGGAGGCAGAGAGAGAAAAAAAGAAACATGAAGAATGATATAGCATGCTTGTGTGTGTGAACACACAGTTACACCAATCTGTGTACGCATCTCTATGCTGGGCACCAGTCACGATGCCATTCTTATCTGCCCTGATGTCACCTCTGCATAATAATTAGCAAATAAAAGCAGTCCCTAAGTGCCCTGGTCACGGCAGAGGATCTCGTGGTATCGAGAGCTGCCAGGTAGCAGACCCGGAGCCAGGAGACCCTTTCTTGGTGGAGCTGTCTCTTGGTCTTACATTGCCCCCTCCCCTTCGAGACCAATCTGCTTCCTCCTGTATGAATTTGCCCCTTGACAGCAGGCTGCCAGAGAAACACTGTAAGAAGGGCTTCATCTCTGTGTTTCTGTTTGCGGAGATTCATTGCTGAGGCTCACGCCTGCATGAATCCATTTCTGTATAGCCACTCGGCGCGCAGGCTCCACGCACGTGGGGGGTGGGACTGGCCCAGGGAGGGAACTAAGGAATGATGCACGTGTCCGAGGCGACGGTGCCATTGAGGATGGGCTGACCCAGCTCTCTGCAGGAAGACCCGCCCGCCCGGTCACATCTTCTGAGAGGGACCCTGCGGGCTTGGTCAGCATTCTCAGGACTCTCATGGCCCCTCCCACTTCCCCAAACGCTCCCTTCCCCTGCCCCCACCAGCCCTCCCCACCTTTCCCCAGGGCCCCAATCTACCACTTTCCCTTTCGAGCAAAGCTAGCTTCAGAAGGAAAAGCTCCGAATTCCTCGGATCCCAGCAGGGAGGAGAGAGGCCAGGAGAGGAGCAATTTTCAGCTTAGGGTCCCACACCTCTCGGAGGCAGGCTCCACAGTCCTCCAAGCGGGATTCTGAGGTTCTGAAGGGACAAGCCCTGAAATGCAGATTCTTCCAATTATCCCGCATTCTTTTGGGCAGTAAATCCTAAAGTTCCCTCCTTCGGGACCAAGCCCCCACGCCTGGCAGCAGCTAAGCCCCCAGTGGCCTTTTCCACAGGCTAACACTGCCCCCTGCTGGGATGCGCTGGGATGTCTGCCTCAAGTGCTCTGAAGGAAATTAGGGGGCATACCTGCCTAAGAGCTCCCCAACTCCCACCTGGAGAGGGGAACTACTGAACCCCTTAGAGGCATTAGGCCTGCCTGCCTCCAGTGTATTCTAAAGCTGGGATTGGGTGGTGGCAACCGGAATAGTCCTTTGACACAGACAAGAGTCAGGGCTCCTGGAAGGCTTCTCCCTCTGTCTCCAGCCTGCTCACCCATTGCCTCAAATTCCTTTAATAAGGAGCAAAGGCATGGTGTGACATAATACTCGATCACAACCCACGTGGGAGGCTGGGAAGCCCACAGGTCTCTATCTTGTTTCCCTCCCCAGCTCCAGAGCCCCTTTCCAGCTGCTGCTGAGACTCCTCTAGTGGGATAGAGTAAGGCCATCTTAGCCTCAGTCAGAAACTAGGCTCACCTTCTTCCCCAGAACCGAATCTCTCCCGAAACCCTATTTCTCTGTGTTCCACATCCAATGTGAGTCTAAGATCTGCAGGCCCTATCTCTACAATGGCATTTGAATCCCCAGTCTTTCTGCATTTCCCCTCCCAATTAAGCTCACTCTGCCCCCAGACCATTTTCCAAGGGTTGTCGGGGTTATTGACCTAACACACAGCTCTACGCGACGCCCTGCTCAAAAGCCTTGTCAATAAGATTGGCCATGTGTTGATAATTCTTGAAGCTAACTGATGGAGTCATGGGGATTTATTACATTACTCCTTCTGCTTTTGTGTATGTTTGAAATTTTCCATAATAAAAAAGTTAAAAAAAAAAAAGACTTTGTCATTCCTCCTTCCCCTTTAATTAGGTACAAATTCCTCCACATCACGGTTAGGATCTGCCTTCCCAACTAGATTGTCCCATGTCCCCTCCATTCTTAATGTAGAAGTCTTTCCTGAGTGTATACGTACCTCCCCCTACACCTCCATTCACGTTCTTCTACCTGGGATGCTCTTTTCACATTGCTTCCCACCCTTGAAGGTCCACCTTAAATGCCACCTTCGATATGAAAACTTTCTTGGTCCCCCAACAAACAGCTATGTCCCTTGATCCCCAAGGCCTTGATTCACATCTTGTGGCACTTATGTCCACCTTTTGTGATAGACATGTGTGCCCCCATCTCAGCCTCCTCTAGACTGTAAGCATCATGAGGCCAGGGCAGGCCTTACACGCAGTGCCCCATAATATTGGCTGAGTTGGCCTGTAGCAGAAACATACTGACATCCCTTTCCATGGGAGCGGGTTTTGATGAGAGGAGACAGCACAGAGCCTGCCTGTGGGGAAATGGGATACAAGGGCCAATGGGGAAGTTCAGAGCAGGAAGGGTTCTCAGTGCCTACATGGAGGAACCCCCTCAGTTTACAGGCGAAGAGGGCAAGTCTCAGGAAGGCAAGGGATTGAGTGGGAGTAGTTCCATTTCTAACGCTGAAGAGGCTCAACTCTTGCCTATCTTCCAGTCCAGGTTTACTCTCACACACACACACACACACACACACACAGCTTCCCCGCTATTTTTCTGGTGTTGACCCTACCCCAGCAAAGGGTTAGAGATGCTTGAAGATCTTTCCTGGGGCACCCTGACTTGCACAGACTTCTACCTCTGTGGGTAGATGACGCTTGGGTTGGAGCTTAGGCCCAGAGAGGACTTTGCTGCTGGGAGAGGAGGTGTCAGTGGTGGCTGGTTGAAGCATTCACCCCCAGCAGGGCTGTGCCTGTCCCATCCCCCCCCCATACACTCATGCCGCACAGAAATATTTCAGAAATGTTTATGCCACAGAGAAGTCCAAAACCTGCAGGAAGCTGCAGCCATCCTCCAGGCTGCCCGGAGCCACGGATGTCCCCTGAAGGGGACACCAGCAGACAGGTGGCCTGCACAAGCCAAGGAGCCAGGGCGACTTGCTGACATCCTTTTGTCCTCTGCCCTAAATCTGGAGGTTCCATTTAGGCCGGTGGGGGGCGGGGGGAAGAGGAAGTGGAAAAGGGGTAGGAGAAGTGTGGATCTCTTCAGGGTACTCTTCCTGCTTTGGGATGGTGACTCACCCAGCTGGCCCTGGGAGGGACAACTCCTCAGGCCAGACTAAGGCGGCCAAGACTAGGGTTGTGGAAGGAGCAGAGGGAGGTTCCTGGGATGCGGTGGCCAGGAGGAGTCGCAGCAGAAGCTAGAAGGGGAGGCCCACCTGCCCCCCCGCCTTCTCACCAGGCTCTAAGCCCGGCCCAGCGTGCACAGGACCACTTCAGCCCTGGCAGCTGATGGAGTCCGCATCTCCTCCACCCTCCATCACTTTGGGCCTTTCTTAAGTACCATGATATTGTCATACTCAGTCCCCTGTGGCCAGCCAGAGGCAGCAAAGTCCTGTCCCGCTGGGTAGACATGCTGGAGGCCGCTGGGGTCCCTGTCAGCTGCGGCTTGCCCCCTCCAGGCCTCACCCCGGAGCTCCTGTGGGCTGTCATACAGGGACAGGGCGGCCACCCCCTCAGGCTCATCGTATATGTGGTCGTGTCGGGAGGGCGGGTGCTCCTCGATGCTCTCGTACAGAGGGTCGGCCGGGGCCTGGGGAGGGACGGCCAGGATGCCCCTCAAGCTCTTCCCCAGGTTCTGTGCCACTGCATCGAAGGGCACCGCGTACTCCCCCTCTGGGCCCCGCTGCAGCCGGGGGGCAGGAACCCGGACGGTGGGCGATAGTGGTGGGAGTGAGTCGTGGGGTCGGGAGTAGGGACTCTCCGGCCGGGGCAGCACCGCAGGGTTGGGGACTGGCTGGGTTGGGGGCCCAGGAGGGGAGGCGTTCTTCTGGGCAGAGATGGCCTCTTCCAAGGCCAGGAAGATCTCATTGCCTTGCCGGGTTTCAAACTCAAAGTTGCCCTCCCCTGAGATGCAGCGCCGGCCTGCCTCAAAGGAAAAGGTTGCCTGGGTGGAGAAGAAAGCCGATGACTCGCAGGCCACTGGGCGGGGCCACTTGCTACTCCTGGATCCAGCTCCCAACCACAAGCCTGTCACCCCAACCTCTCCCCAAGCTGCTTCCCCTTCCCTCCCGCCATGCTTTTGCTTACAAGCAAAGCCCTCTCTCATCTTTTCTCCTTCTTCCTCCCATCCATCGAGTATGAAGCTCGATGCACAGTTCATCCTCCACCACGCCAGCCACTCTCCACCCTCCCACCTCTCCCCACCTCTTCCTCTCCTTTCCTTCTCCCCCACCTCGACCACCATTTCTCCCTGCCGTGGTTCTCTCCTCCAGCCCCTGGGCTGCGCTTTCTCTTCTGCCGGCCTTTATCTCGTTGTTTCTTCCTCCTCCATTCTCTCTTCCTTTGAGGGCCCCTTCGCCCTCTGCCTGACGCTCTCTTTTCTCTCACAGCTCATCCTTCCTCTCACCTGCCCGCGGCAGCCCCCGCTCACCTTGTCCCGCCCAAAGCGCCGCAGGAACCTGTAGGGCCATTCATACAGCTGGGTGCCCAACTGAGGGCCGCCCCACAGCTCCAGGGCACTCTCCCCGGCCCGGAGGGTGTAGGATCCCCAGAGCCGGCACCTCTCACTGGCTTCTGTGGGTCTCACGGTCACAGCAAACTCCTTGCAGGGGGCCCCTGGAGAGAAGAGGGTAAACAAGGAGGCAGTTCATGGGAAGCAGCCGACCTGTCTCAACTCTGCCCTGCTTTACATAGCATGCCGGGTCTCCAGAAAAAGTATTATCCACGGCCCCATGACCCTGCAGCCTGCATCCTGAATGCTGAGCTGCCCCGCGCCAGGTCAGACTCCCTAAAATGCCAGGAACATCCAGCCCTCCCTCAGGAGGCATCATGCCCTAGCCACTTGCACCCCGACCCTGTACCCACATCCTTCCTGCCCCTCTCACCAGAGCCACAGCCTTGTCTCCATCTCATCTCATCTCTCTCCCCAAGCCAGCTGCCTCCCCAGTCCCGACTGTCACAGCTGACCCTGCCCTCCCAGCTCTCAGCCTACCCAGCCCCTGCCCATGCCATCAGGTGCCCTCCGAGAGGTGGAGCCTGGATGTCCCCCCCACCCCACGTCCACCTGCTCTCCCCACGCGCCCACCCCGAGGGCTAGACAGATAGCAGGAGGGGCCTTGCCTAGTCAGCAAAAAGCTCCCTTGCCGCAGGACAGCTCAAATCCACAGAAAGAAAACCATTCTTTCCACAGACAATCGCTCGGGTGCCAACAAGGGAGAGTTCAAGAGCCCCACCTTCACCTGGACCCCTCAGCCGGGCCCTTTCCCACCAGCAGGGCCTGCACAAGAGGGAGTGGGCCAAGGGTGCAGGGCTGACATTTCAGGCAGGCCAGCCTCCCCGACCTTGGGCTGTGCCGGAAGCAGCGATGCGGAGAGACTGATAAGGGGGCTGGCCGGGGCCGGGGGCAACCACAAGGCAGGAAGACTGAGCCGGCAGCCGGCCAGCCCTCACCTCCTCCCCACCACGCCCTGGAGAGAGCACCCGGGGAGCAAAGGCAGGGCCCTCACCTGTGGTCGCACTGCTGTACAATTCATTCTCCTCCATGCGGGGCAGGCCGCCCTTCCCCTTCAGCTCCTTCCTCTGGCCCTGGCGGGGAAGGCCCAAGACTCACCACCATCGCCAATCCCAAGCCCCACCACCGGCCACCGCAAGCTTTCTTTCAAAACACACTCAGCCTACTGCCCTGTCTTTATTCTGAACTGGGATCCCTCACCCCCACCAAGGAACCACCTCCAGCATCCTGACCTTGGCTCTCACGACATCTGCCCACGGCAAGCATCCAGTGCCCCGTGCCCTTTCTACAGCCCTGGGCGACTCACGGGGAAGGCCAGGAGGCAGATGGCCTGTATCCAGTCACCCCGCTCTGCAGTGGGGGCCGCCAGTGCGTACAGGCGCTCCGTAGTCTCCAGGAAGAAGGTGCTGGTATCCCGGGGGCTGCTGGCCTCCCCTCCGGCCTCAGCCACCCGCAGGCAGTCACTGAGGCGGATGACCCTCCGGGGGGCCTCTCCCCGGCGAGGCTTCTCCGGGCCCTCCTGGAGCTCCAGCCGGGCCAGGGCGCAGCCCGACCCTCCGTACAGCGCCGCCCCGAACCGGCGCCATTTCTGCCCCCAGATGCGTAGCAGGTGGGGAGATGGAGAGATGGTGCCCAGCGGGGAGAGAAGGACCCGGGGGAGACAGAGGTGAAGATCGGGGGAGACCCAAGGAGGCAGAGAGCCTAACAGAGGCCTTAGGAGTTAGAAAGCATTGGAGATGCACCCCAAGCAACCCAATAAGAGGCCTACAGTGACAGCAGAGAGGAAGCCAATGGCAAGAAAGGCACAGGAGTGAGCCCCATGGAGGCGACTGCAGGGCAGCCGGGCAGGCCCAACCCAGGGGATCCAAGTCAAGAGGCAGAAAACCTGCGAGTCCCGGAGCCCAGAGGGCTGAGGAGGGCAGCCCAAGGGCCCAGACTGGGGAGCATGCTTCTCATTCTCTGTGAGGCCCCATAGAAGGCCCTGTCCCCCGGAACCTCAGCTGACCCTCCTGAACCTTCCTGCCTCATCCTCTGACAAGTTAGGCCATGAAAGAGACAGAGAGAGGAACCCCGGGGTGTGTCCGCTGAGGGAAGGAAGACGTCCTCATTCAAGGATGCCAAAGAAGGAAAAGGAGTTTGGGCACAATGGGGCCCTGGCTCCCAGAGACCCCATTTCAAGTCTAATAGCAGCCAAACGTACCCCACTGGGGCAGGAAAGGAGGAAGGAACCTCCACGGCAACCCTGAAGTATCCCCTCCATTGTGCCTTCCATTCCTCCCCAAGGTGTCCCGGTGAGAAGATGTCACCACAGAACAAGAAAGGCAAGAAAAGCAGAGTCAGAGCCCTCTTTTTCCCCCCTCCTCCCGGGGCAACGGCTGTCAGCAAAGAGCTCAGTTTGGAGCCAGCTCGCAGAGGCAAGAGCTGCTAAGGAAAGAGCCCTCCCAAGCTTGTACTCTGGGCCCAATGTGGTAGATGGCACAGTCTCCACCATTCCATAAGGGTTTTGGAACATTCCGGGGCCTCCTCTCCTCCCCGGGGAAGTCTCTAGCAGCCCCCCAGCCCCTCGGCTCAGCCCCAGCCCAGCCGTGCTCTTCCTACCTTCCCAAAAGTCTGCTGCTGCTGGAGGTACAGGAAGCCCTGCTTCACCGCCACGTCCTCCATCTTCCCACCATCCTGGGCCCCTGAGCTTCAGTTCTCTGCTTCCACTCCCGCCCTCTTTCTCTCCTCTCTGCCCTATGTTCCCCCTTCTCTCAAGTTCATTTCCTCTCTGCCTAGAGTTCTGCATTATTCTCGTCTGCTCGATGACGACAGGCTGATAAGCCCTGTGGTTTCTTGCTCTGTGTGTATGTGTGTGTGTGTTTTCTTTTTGATGAGTGAGTTTCACACTCAAGCCTCCTGCATTTTCAGTGAGTAAGAGAGAATTTCCAAAAAGCCAAACTCCAGCGCTTTGGTGAGCAGCAACTCAGGTACAGAGACCCAGAAATGGAATTAGACAGTAAAACCAGTAGCCAAAGGCCCCCCATGCTCAAGCTGGATGCTTAGCGTTACGGAGCTAGGAGAGAACTTAGAAATCAATCAGCCCAAGTCTGTCATTTAAAAATGAGGAGACAGGCTCAGGAAGGTCTGAGGGATGGGTTCAAGGCTACCAAACCAGAACCCAGGTCTCTCAACTCAGTAGGAGCTGAGCCACACTCACACACACTGGACACATGAGCCTCACCCCTTTCACACACTCCACTGCAACAGTTTCAGTCTGTGGGGAGCACTCCCTGTCCCCCACAATGACACACGCCTACACCACCTCCTTGAGCTTCTAGAAACATGAACATTCCCACACTGAAACATGCTATGCCCCCTGAGCACATCTCAACTGTCGGAGTTCACCTTCTTTCGAACCTTTGAGAGCTTTATAAAGACACTGGAGTTCCACCTGAAGGTTAGCTTTTTAAGTTACAGTAGCAATTCTTATATATTTTTTTAAAAAGCCTTACAATTATCAAAAGTGCTTCACAGTTACCAAAGGTTCCAGGCACACACTGTCTCCAGGCACCCTATCTAACCCTGAAAGAAGGAAGAGCAAGTATGAAGACACACCTGTTTGCAACCCTCCTGAGGTCACAGGGGCAGAGAAGGAAGTACCGGAGCAACTGATCTTTAATTCAACAGTCTTTTTATTGCTGACCCCTAAGTGGGATCCAGACTCCATGCAAGAAGATACATTGCTTTGGGGAAATCGAAGCTCCCCAGAGAATATTTAACTTAGATCCAGATGGTTTAGAGAAGCAATCTGAAGGAGGCATGGTGCAGAAATGTTGGGGGAACCAGAGAACTAGACCAGCACTCTTGGGGTAACCCCACAATGGGTGCTTATGTAACTGAGCCATTTCCTCTCCCACAGGGGTTCGGCTGCCTTAGGAAGGAGAGCAGAACAGTGCACCGCTCAGACCTTCTGCTGCACATGCCATGTGCTTTACCAAAACAGCTCTGAAAGATAAATGTTATGAGTTCTGGAAGGAGAGGACTGAGTCACGTAAAGCTCACGGCACTCAGCCCAGCTGCCTGGATTTGAACAGGTGAATCCACAGACCAAGGGGGAACCAAGCATGTCGGTGCAGGAAAAGCTCCTTGGGAAGTGGTTAGGAGTATGGAAATGGGTGGCCTATTCCATTTCTCTAGTCCCCTAGGGGAGGCAACACTACCTGGGGGCTGCATGGTGTGTGGTGAGCTCAGCGTCTCCTTATGGAGTGAGAAAAGAAGAGCTTTTGGTTTTTTTTTCTTAGGGCCATCCTGGGGGCTGCCAGAGCAGTGCCTTTCAAACTTCAATGTGCAAATCTTGTGAAGAGTGTAGATTCTGATGCAGTAGGCGTGGAGTGAGACCTGAGATGCTGATGCTGCTGGTGGGTGGACCAGACCTGAGTTTGAGGAGCAAGACAACAGAGGATGTTCCCCCCACCACGTTCTCTGATCACCTCCCCGCGAAGTCGATTGGACACATTCCACTCAAAACCACAGGGGGGCACCCGAGCTTGCCAGATTACTTGGAAACTATTTAAACCTGGAGGCCTGAGCCCCAGGAATTTCAGACACCCCGCATGCCATCCCTTGCCCGTGGGAGCTAGAAAAGTTCTCTTCCTGTGGCTGTTGTCTGCAGCAGGAGTGAACTCAGAGCAACACCCACTTTTCCTAGCAGGACTTGTGGGAAACCCACAGAGGAAGTACTAACCCCAGTAACTTTCTGTCTGGCCACAGGCAAATCCTGTGAGCAGGGACCCAGAAGAGATAGCTCCAAGACACAGCAGAGGGACAGAGAACCAGAGGCCCTTAGGTTACCCAGGCACCAATGATAGGGAGAGAAAGCAGCAAAGAGAAAAGGGTCCCAGTGGTTTATATTGAGGTCTGGGTGGGGGTGGGGTGCCCCTTGGCTCCTCATGGCTCTTATTGGAAAGAAAGGGACACCCACACACACCTCATTTGTGCCTCAATATTCGCCACCAGGACGCTTTCCTTTACAAAGGTTTCTCTCAGCGGGAGTTAGGAACCATACAGATCAAGAGATCACAGCTGCAGGAACTTGGCAACTTTTTGTTACTATCCTCACCAGTGATTAGCAACTAAATCTTTAACACAAAAGGGCTTCTGGACTTGTCTTTGGGGGGAAGAAAGGAAGGAACAGAAGAGACTGATTCCTTGGACATGTCTGGAGATTAGGCAACCCCCTCTCCGCCCGAGGATGAACGGGGAGGTGCAGCTACTCAAGGGGCAGCTCTGGACACACAACAGGAAAGAAGGTATAGAATGGGCAAGGAGCTGGGGGGGGTCCTGAGAAGGATGGAGGACTGAGCACAGAAAAAACGTGAGCGGGGTTCATGAAAGGTTCCATCCCTGCCTCCTCCCACACCGGTGGCTCCTGACCGTGGGGAGGAAGGACCAGTCTCTTGAGTTTCATCCCCAGTCCTCACCCTTTCTCCACTACGTATATCATTATTAACATAATAATAATGTTACTTAACATTGTGATAACACTTCAAACTCTTTATGTTCTCATAAGACCCCAAATGCACCCTAGAATGAGGCTGAGATAGGAAGAATTTAATTAACTCAAAAGTCTTGTTTTTGTTTTTTGGTTTTTTGCGGTTTTTTTGAGCATCTACTCTGTGCAGAAGTAGGAGGGACAGAGCATAAACAAGACATATATAGAATCCCTGTTTTCATCGTGGTTCTTTTCTAGTTGAAGACTCAGACAATGAAAAGAATAAATATGTAACTAAATAGTTTTGTACAGACAGTGATCAGTGCTGTAAGTATGACAGTGAAGGGGTCGGGGACAACTTTCAATAGAGCCGGTGAGAAAAGCTTCTCTGAGGAGATAACAACTGAACTAAGACATCAGTGATAAGAGGGAACCAGCCACTTAAAGATCTGAGGGGAAAACATTCCAGGCAGAAGTTCCTTCAAGGGCAAAGGCCCAGAGGCAGGTACAGCTGGATGTGAGGAAGTGCAAGAAGGGCAGAATGACCAGAGCATTGTGAGCCAGAGGGGACACGGAGAGAGGGTCCCATCACATGGCCTCTTGGTCTATAGCAAAGATTTGGAATGTACTCTAAATGTAATGGGAGGCCACTTGAGGATTTTTAAGCAGGGCTGTGAATGATCTGATTTATGATTTTAAAAGGATGTTCTGCAGCTATAGGGAAAATGGATTATCATGGGGCAAGACAGGAAGCAGGGAAAGAAAGGACTGTATTATCAGAGCCCAGGATAAATGTGATGGTGGCCTGGATCAGGGTGCTAGCAGTGGTGATGAAGAAGAGTGGCCAGATTTGGGTATGTACCGGATGTAGATTCAACAGGACTTGCAATGGATATGGGGGGGACTGTTGAAACACTAAGTAATCAGGGCAACTCCTGGGTTTTTAGTTTGAGCAACTGGGTGAATGACGGTATCATTTACTGAGAAAGGGAAGATAGAGGGAGAGAAACAGGTGTGGGGAAGGGTTTTGGTGGGGGGTGGATTTGGGCCTGGCCCACAGGGAGCTGCTATTTCTACGCAATCAAGCAAGTAGGGAATTCGAAGACTGCCACTGCAATCATCACGTCAAGAAGATACCAAGGAAGCACCTGACCCACCACCCCTGCTCTCTACCCTCAGGGAGCTAAGGATTGGACATTGGAAAGTTGTTGAAAAACAAAAACAGAAAAATCCCACATCTCAGGGTCTAGACCTGCCAAAAGCAACAGTCAAAAGCTCTGCCTCCAAAGTCTTCTCTGAGTGAATCTAATTGGCGGAGCCGAACTTGCATACAGAACCCTAGCTGCAAGGAAGTCTGGGTAATGTAGTTTTTAGGTGTCCTACCTCTGCAAATCAGGAAGACACACTCGGAGGAGGACGAGGCTTGAAATGAATGCTGAGTACCAGTCCTCTCGATCCACAACAGAAAGTGTGTGTCATTCACTACTATAATCAGTTCCATCGCACGTGGTGGCCCCTAGTCAATACAAACTTCAGACAACCAATACTCTCAGAATCCAGCTAAAATCTAATCTGGGGGCCATGATTGGAAGCCAGGGTGGAATCCAATTGAAAACGGGATCCGGCATTATCTAACACGGATCATTCCTAGTGGGAAAGGCTGGAATTGGCCTCAGCAGGCAGAGCCTTATCTGACCTGACCCAGAGGGATGGCTTCCCCACTCAGACTGAGCCAGGGGTCCTAAAACTCCTTTATCACTCCCCACCACCACCTCCCCCAGCTTCTGACCCCTCTCAGGAGGCAGCCTAGACTGCTGGTTAAGATAACAACCTATTGGGGAAGATCAGAACCGTGCCTGCTGCACGTTTCCAACATCACCACTCTTTGGCGGCTACTTCCATGAATGTTCATCGTGGAGAAAAGGATAGAAATGGAAACAAGGAGATTTGGATTGCTGGTAAAACCCAGGATCAGAGAGCAGTGGCTCCTGTCCACTGGAGCTGAAAGACACAAACAAATTCGGCCACCGTCGGCAGTGTAAAGAATAATGTCGGCGCCCCAAGCGGGGGTTTTGGGCGGTGGGCGCACCGGAAGACCCCCCTGGGGGTGTGGTGTTACAGCAGTGGCGCGGCCGCAGAGCGGTAGGGAGCGTCCGGGGGCACGTCGTGAGGACACTCGGGAAGAGAGGAATCCGCCAGGTGCAGGGGTCTGGGCGGGGACAGGTCCTGGCCCCTCGAGGAGCCCTCGCGAAGCCGATGAGCTAAG